CATCTTGATAGTATTGTCAATGAAATACTTAACTTAATTTTTGGAATGTAAGTGTGTAGAAGTAATCTTTTATCCTGAAACCTTGATAGTCTTGATTCGTTTTAGTTGCTTTATAGTAAAATTTAGGGGTTTCTATATATCAGATGGTACTGTACATAGAAATTTTATATTTTAAACACTTTAACCTATATTGATATCATAATATTTAAAATTATATTTAAATGTATATACTTATTTGTATTTCAGAGAAGTATTGTAGGTGATCAATAAAAGACTTTCCGGAATAAAGAAATATTACATTGGGATAAAAATGCATAAAGTGATGTGGAAATATGAATTCCAGAAGAGAAAAAATGATGTAAACTTTCCTATTAAAGAAATGCTTGTTAATGTATTAGTTTTAAAAATTGATGATGGATATCAAATTGCCTGGAATGGGTACATTTAAGAGTTGTGTAACTTTTATTTTAAAGTGTCAATGTACAATAAAACACTTTGCATCCTTTGCAACTATGTAAGTCAGATGGAAAACTTTGATCAACCTAAAAAATGAGGGAGAAGGTACACAATCATAGTTTTTCAGAATTCTTTTAGGGGATATAAGAGCAAAGCAAAATCATTGACAACGTCTGTATTACTGTATACCTCCTTAATAGATTTTTCTGTTTGGGATGACTGACTGTTACCTTTCTGAGATTTGTGGGAACTATCAACTAACCCCTACTTTTAAATAAAAAAGCCTCCCCTAGTAGTCATCCAACAATCCAAATCATTAATTTTGATTGAGAGGAATAATAATTCATCTGGAATTGAGTTAAACAAGTCTCTTAGCTAGTCTTAAATGCATAGGCACTGCATACATACATACATAGACACACACACATACATATATAAATTTATTAAGGCAGGTCTATTCAGAGTATAAAATCTGTTATTTATAGTGTATTACTAATGTTAAAGAACTTTTTAAGAAAAGTAGAGTATGTTCACTTTGATTCCCCCCTTTCAGTCTTTGATAATCATCAATGGTATTAGCACAATTGCTATTTATCCTTAGGAGTGAGTAATTTAACTTTTTTTTTTTTTTTTTTTACCATATTGCTAGAGACTTTTAGCACACACAGGTATACACCCTACTGAAAGGGCGAAGATGCCCTCCATCTTACCCTGGGTCCTCCATTTTTGGGCAGAGCCTAGTGCTCGGCAAGGCTTCTTCCTGGAAGCCCAAGCCTCTGCTAGCCTCACCCAGGATTTCTCTGGACTAACCAATCCTGCATGCACCCTTAACCAGGGCCAGGGAGGAACCCGCAACAGAGGTATGTGCCCTTGACTGGAATTGAACCTAGGACCCTTCAGTCTGCAGGCCGATGCTCTATCCACTGAGCCAAACTGACTAGGGCTCCTTCCACATACTTTAAATCATCTCTAGATTACTTATAATACCTAATACAATAAAATGCTATGTAAATAATTGTTATATGTATTGAAGACTCTTTGCTTTTGCATCGGACTCGCTGGCTCCCTGGTGGGCTCTTGGGAATCTTGAAATCTGGGCATAACACCTACTAAAACTTTAATCAGTATATGTGGGCTTTTGGAAGTGTTCTCTCTGGATATGTGGTTAGATAGTAAGAAGCTAGGAAAATTCCTGGGTAAGTGGAATGGGGAAACTTGAGACAAGAAAATGAACCAAGGCCAGTTGGGCAGCCAGCTTGTGAGTTGCAAGACCTTCCCTTCCCTAACCAAGGGCACTTGAGAGCAAATGGTTAATATCCTCCTCCCTAACCAGAAAATACATAGCTTAAATCACCCTGGCCTGGGAAAATAGGGAACAAAGACCCAATTAATGCCATTTGTGCCAGCTAAATTCAAGGACAGATGAAAATGGGGAAGAAATAAGAAAAAAACCCATTAAAGCCAGAGAGACGTAAGATAAAAATAAAACAGACCAAAGAATAATCCAAAACTCCTCTATACACTCATTTTGATGCATCGACTTATAAAAAATGCACCTGGAAAGCTGATGAATATTCTATTAAAATCCTCTGTAAGGTTCTCACCTGCAGAAGAAGAAGAAAAAAAAAAAAGAAGAAAAAGTTATCAGGAAAAAGACTCAATGTG